AGAGAGAGAGAGAGATCTCTGGGAAACTGAAATTCCTCCTAAATATTAACGCCAGCGGCGTTTCTGCGACGCGTTCCTCGAGAGTTTACAGTAACCGGCACATTGATACGTACATTCATACAAGCGTGTAAGCCAACGCGTTAGAACTAACTTCCACTCGCTGAAGGAATCGAGAGGTATAGGTACCTGCGGATCTTGGCAGAATCTTACGCGAGAACCCTCAGGTGCCGTGCCGGTAATCACTTACCGGTGTGGCTCAAAGTTGCTGTCGAACTACAAGAGTTCTTCTCGCAGTTCTTACACGGGCCAATGTAAGTGTCTTATTCGAGAACAATACTGAAGTTATTATTAATGCAGCGTGTTGCGCGGGTATCGCGAAAGTTCATTATCGCGGCGTACGTTCCCTCAAGCACGCGAGCTACTTAAGTGCGTTATTTATGCAGTTTCTTCGCAATATTAAATTGTGACCAGATTTCTCCTTATTGCGCGCGGAACGACCTGCCGGTTATACCACGGCGTGATGAATTCCCTTATTAAGATTAGCACTAATAAAATTAAACGCTATTTTAACAAAAACTCTATAATAAGAATTATTTACTTATATTAGCACTAATTCAATTAACTGTTACTGAACAAGAACTTTATGCCAACTCGAGAAAGAAAGTTAGTAATAAGAAAAAAAAACATAAAATTTAACGTAAGTAGAATAATTTATAAACAATTTTTTTAATTAAAATTTACATAAATCTTTAATATTTTCCTTTTTACGACAAGCTACACATATCGTACCGTATCGTAAAATATTGAAAAGTATCGTAAAATGTTAAAAAATGTTATAAAATGTTACCGTAAAATTAGAGCAATAAATAAATGATAAATTAATTCTATTAGCTTGAAGTTGTTCCAGCGATGCCTCTATGGCCTTTTTTTCTCTTCATAATTACTGTCCTTTATATCACTTACTTACAAAAATAAAATTAATTATGATTACGTAAGCAATGATAAAGATATGACAATCACGTGGTACGATCACTATTACAATGAAAAAATGATGCGGAAAAGATCGTCGGAGCTACGATTCGCTCGACATCCGTAGAAAATAGACGACGGCGGAGAGAAATTGAAAATTGCGCAACTAACTTTGCGCGTCATCCACCGTTCCTATTCTGTATACTATGTTGTACATCTAAACTATTTTCGTATGCTTTTGGTGTTTTTCGCACATAAGTACGAAACGATTTCAGTCTTGTCTACTCTCTGTGCAAATGATAGCAACGTGATAGCGTGCAAACAACGCACGTACGCTGCAACGTAGTGACAAAAAAAAATGCGAAAACAAACAGCACACTGCGAGCCAGTATCAAAACATTTGCGACAGTTCTGTTTAAAATATTCAACGTATTATAAGATAGTGTACATATATTCTGTGCTTTGTACTTAAAATTTTAATTTCGACAAACAGGTCACTATTTGTATCTATTACACTTTTAATCCATACATTGATTTCTTTAAAAATTAAAATTCCGGTTTACATTACAATTCTGTTTTAAAGTATTTAAATCATTTTACTACTGTCTGTATAAGTGAATAAACAAAAAAAAAAGAGAAAGACATCAGTGGAGTGAAATATTTAAAAATATAATTGCCATTTTGCTAACTGTTCGCGTGATGAACATTTAGTTTCGCAAAATTTAATCTATCAAAATTTATTGCGCAAACAGTGAAGAAGCAGATATTTATTTTTAATTTTGTCTCCTATATTTATTCACTTATATTATAATAGAGATAGTAAAACGGTCTAAAAATTTTAGAACGTAAAATTTCCAGACAACAAATTTAATCCTTATGCTAACGAGTCAACAAAACCAAGATACTAACAATTCTCGGTGACAAGTAATCTATTTATCCAAAATAAAAACACACAACAAACAAAATATATGTAACTCATAATATAAAATATTTTAAACGTATTAAGTGCTCGATATCCAAATGTATATTGCTTTACATATACAACAAACGCAGAAAACGTACAAAATTAATTCAGATGTACAACATAATAACCGTAACGAATACAAAGTTGCCTGCAGAATTTTCGATTTCCCTTTGCCTTTGACGTCGTAAATTTTGAACAAATCGTAGCTCTGTGCGATCATGAATTTCCGAGTTTTTTTTTTGGTTTTGATATTGGTAAAGCTGTGCAATTGTCACATCTTGATGATATTATTGCTCGCGTGATTATATTTTCACAAGTATATTTTCAGTTATCGATAAACTACTGAGAGAAGAAAAAAGCCAGAGAACCGATCTAATCAACATTAAAGCGGAGCAACTTTAAGCTTTAAATAATTTATCATTATTTATAGCAGTTGAAAATTTTAGAGCTCGAGCGATTTAGACAGTTCGGATCTTCAAATCGAACATCAAATAGTTTAGACCTTTTGAGTGGAAAGCACAGCAGTTTGAACAGTTCAAACTGCTCAAACTAACGTCAGGTACGAAAATTTGGAAACTATTATAGTTCAAACATGAAACTTATGAAATGTGTAATAATGCACATACATGAGAAATCACTGGCAATACCCTCAGTGGCCGTATTTTCGAGTATAAAGCAACATCGTGTTTTCCTTTGAATATATTCTCCTGGAAGATTTCGTAATCATCCATGCAACCGTTCCATCCTGATCGAACTGGAAAATATATACGTCGGAGCTTGACCGGAGAATGATGCAAGACATTGCCGCAACGGAAAGCATCAAGCGGCGCGTTCACCCGAAAGGATCGAATTTCTTTCGCTTCCTACCTGAAGCACATCTACGTACACAGCCTCCTCCTCGCGCATCCATCTGGCAGGATGGATTTCTACGCTGGAACGTATTTTTTTTCCCTTCCGCCGACGTCCGTTTGGAGCACGAGCTAATTTACGACTCGCAATTCGACGAACGACCGCGTGGTCGCAAGAAGCGCTCATTTTTCAGCGAAAACGAGCATCAGCGTTCCGGAGAAAAAAGAAAGTGAGAGAGAGAAAGAGAGTCGCTCACTCGTTCGGGGAAGAGAGAGGAAGGAAAGAGGAGTGGGAGAGCGACTCGCGCGAAACGACAACCCGCGGAAGTAAATCGACAGCAGGCACGGGGGATGAAACTGCTCGGGGCTTTTCGATGGGGAGCGGCATCGACGATACGCTCTACGTTCTTACGAGACGCTGATGTAACGCAGCGAGACA